GGCTCACGCCTGTAATCCTAGCTCTCTGGGAGGCCGAGGTGGGCGGATTGCTCGAGGTCAGGAGTTCGAAACCAGCCTGAGCAAGAGCGAGACCCCGTCTCTACTATAAATAGAAAGAAATTAATTGGCCAAATAATATATATAGAAAAAATTAGCCGGGCATGGTGGCGCATGCCTGTAGTCCCAGCCACTTGGGAGGCTGAGGCGGAAGGATTGCTTGAGCCCGGGAGTTTGAGGTTGCTGTGAGCTAGGCTGATGCCACGGCACTCATACTAGCCTAGGCAACAAAGCGAGACTCTGTCTCAAAAAAAAAAAGAAAGAAGAATGTGTTGTAGAAAAGGCAAAATTTATGTTTTAAAAGTAAGTATGACTTCACATAACTTTTAGTTTGCTCAAGGAAAGCTATACCTGACTCCTCAGCAGAAATATTTGTGTGGAGAAGTTAGAGAAGCACACTGCTATAGCCATGCTGACCCTTCTCCCACGCCTCTCTGACTTTTAAAAATACTGAGTTTGGATTTATCCTGTGAGCCTCTGAGGACTTCCATAGCATCACATCCAGAAAACAAGTTCACATTTGCCAGCACCTTCTGGAAGCCTTTCAGAACTCTGTAACTATACTCTATCTGTGCAAAGCAGAGATAGTAAGAGGCTGGAAATAAAAAAGGGGAAAGACAAGGCAAGAAAAGGCCCATAATAATTAAATGGAATCTCAGTTTAAACATAAAACCTATTAGGAATCCGAGAACTCTGTTCTTTCTCAACGTTAGAAAACTACCAGTTATCCGCCTTAAATAGATAGAAATCATATCTTAGAACATAAACATCAGAGTATATGGCCACCTTAATTTCAGAGAATGAAGATCATGATTTCCACAAGTACTTCATCAGATCTTTTTTTATTTTCTTGGTAGTGAGACTGCGACAGGAAGAGAAACGGCAGCAGGAGGAAAGCAACCGAGTGAAAGAGCGCAAGCGTAAGAGGGAAAAGTATGCAGAGAAGGTACATTCAGCCTGGGGTGGCTGGTGGGGCATGGGGTGCTTACAGAAAAGGCTTTGGGGTACATGGCTTGTTATCTTGGTTATTGGTTGGCATCCAGCTCCAGCTGTGTGTGATTAGTTGCAGTTCTGGGATGACTTATGTTTGATCAGAAGAAATGCAGCCTTGGTAAATATGTACTCCCTACACACACCCCCTTTCAGTGGTCACAGTTTAATTATGGAAACCATTTTTCAGGGCTATTACAAAGCACAAGGCTAAAGTATGGGTAAGATGGATATTATTTATATATATTATTAGATTCTGTAAAATCTTAGAAAGGGCCTAAGAGGTCATGAGATTTAATCCTTCTACCATAATTCTGCTAGTATATCATTCAGTGTCTCCTACCACTGGAAAAATAAATCTCTGGCCAGTCTGATCATCTTTTTTTATCCAGTTCACTCCAAAGACTTGAGCTGCCTTTTGTCTCCTTTCTGACTTTTCCTGCTTGAGCCTACCAGGCTAGCTACAAAGTGGGATGTTATTTCTCTCCATTTTGCTGTTTCTACTAAAGTATTACATCAGTAATTCTTATCCCTGGTCTTTATTGACATGCAATTGGGAAGTGAGGCTGTCAGGACTTATTCTTATTTCAGGGGTCAGCCCATTAGCACTGACGAGGTTCCAGACATATTATGCCTACAGGCTGTGGTTTGGTACCATTTTACTATCTGCTTGAGAGTGCTAACTTGTTCTAGTGGGTTTGGCTTACCTTTGGGTTATATTACCCATCCCATCTTTACCAGCCCTGGTTGGGCTCCTGATCTTAAACAAGATAGTCACCTGAGCTTCAAGTATCTCCATAGCTCTGATCCCTCAAATCCCATCCTTGTTTGTGCCCCATTTTCCTGGCCTGTTTGGTTTACCTGAAACCTATTATGTGCTACATGTTTAGACCGGTTCTGCTTTTAAGTGGAGGTCAGCTTCTTCCCTTTGCCCACACTTGTACTGGACCTCATGGCATTTTGCCTGTATGGCTTTGATGGTCAGCTGCCTAAGCGCCTGTCTGTATTATATCATCATCTTCCAATAGATGTACCAGCTGTTCCTGTTGCAAAATGTACATCCTCAGACCTCCTCTAAGCAGAACTGTTTCTAGCTACACCTGATAGAAATCATGTCATTTACAAAGTTGAAAAATCCTATGAATGAAGGATCAAAATCCGGTCAGGTGTGGTGGCTCACGCCTGTAATCCCAGCACTCTGGGAGGCCAAGGTGGGAGGATTGCTTGAGGCCAGGAGTTTGAGACCAGCCTGAGCAAGAGTGAGACCCCTTCTATACAAAAATAAAAAAATTATCTAGGCATAGTGGTGCATACTAATAGTCCCAGCTACTGAGGCTGAGGTGGGAAGATTGCTTGAGCCCCCAGGAGTTTGAGGTTGCTGTGAGCTATGAGAATGCCACTGTACTCTAGCTGGGGCAACAGAGTAAGACTCTGTCTCAAAAAAAAAAAAAAAATGCTTCTAGCCTGTGCTGCCATCTCTATCCATTTCCCCAGGCTCTTTTATTATTCCACCCTCAAATATCTAACCCATTACTTACTACTGTTTAAAATAAAATAGCTTTAATATTCAGAAATAATATCAAAGAAAAGACGGTTTTCTAACATAGAACATTGTAGGGTTTAATAGTTTTTTGCATCAGATACTATCTCTGCTCTAAGCATAGAATAATAAATGCCCAGTGATACTATAAATTGCACAAAGACATGGCATATTAACCATATTATAGATAAAAATGCAGTGGTACATTGGGTGAATGAGATTCCCACATGTATCATAGCTCATTCTATGATTTCAGGTCCCTAAACTGTGACAGAGCCTTACTGAATTGATTTAGAACTGCTTAGTGTAGCTCAGTCACTCAACCCAGAAGAGTTTGTGTAATTTGAGGAAATAGTGACAGAGGAACTCCATTATTCCTTGGGAATAAGGCTCTTCATTCTCCTCTTGCATATTTAAAACATGCAGAGAAAAAGTAGATATGCATGCTCTCCATTTTGCTGTGAAACTGCTCTAAAAAATCAGTCTTTTGGAAAAAAAAGGATGAAGCCGGGCATGGTAGCTCACACCTATAATCCTAGCACTCTGGGAGGCCAAGGCAGGCAGATCACTCAAGGTCAGGAGTTCGAAACCAGCCTGAGCAAGAGCAAAGCCCCGTCTCTACTAAAAATAGAAAGAAATTAATTGGCCAGCTAAAAATATATAGAAAAAATTAACCGGGCATGGTGGTGCATGCCTGTAGTTCCAGCTACTTGAGAGGCTGAGGCAGAAGGATCGCTTGAGCCCAGGAGTTTGAGGTTGCTGTGAGCTAGGCTGACGACACCATGGCACTCTAGCTCAGGCAACAGAGTGAGACTCTATCTCAAGAAAAAAAAAAAAAGATGTGCAGAAAATACGTTGACAGCACTGCAATCTTTTGTGAAACTACATTCATTCAGCCCCTGTAAGTGATGTAGCTTGATGTACCAGAGGCTGGCCATACCCCTTGCCCTACCAGGATTGGGTTTGATTTTTTTGTTGTTGTTTTTGAGACAGGGTCTTGCTCTGTCTCCTGGGTAAAGTGCAGTGGCATCATCATAGCTCACAGCAACCTCAAACTCTTGGGCTCAAGCAATCCTCCTGCCTCAGCCTCCTGAGTAGCTGTGACTACAGGTCCATGCTACTATGCCTGGCTAATTTTTCTATATTTTGTAAAAATGGGGTCTCACAAAATACACATGAGCTCTCATAAAGCCATCATTCTTCTTTAGGAGGTTTTTATTCCTTAAAAATATGCTAATTGAATATACACACCTAATGGGTGCAGTGTGCACCGTCTGGGGGATGGACACGCTTGAAGCTCTGACTCGGGTTGGGCAAGAGCAATATACGTAAACTAAACATTTGTTCCCCCATAATATGCTGAAATAAAAAAGAAGAAAAAAAAAACAGATGAAAAAATATGCTAATTGAGATGTTTATAAAGTAAAAAATACAATCTCTGTTATTCTTTTCTTCCTTAATCCCACTTTCTCTTGAGAGTGCATCCTCATACTTTTTCCATTTTTCCCAATCTGTGTTCCCAGAAGAAAAAGGAAGATGAATTGGATGGGAAGAGGAGAAAAGAAGGTGTGAACCTGGTGATCCCATTTGTTCCCTCGGCTGATAACTCCAACCTCTCTGCTGACGGGGATGACTCCTTCATTAGCGTGGACTCGGCCATGCCTAGCCCTTTCAGTGAGGTGAGGCAGTGGGGACTGTGTCCTGACCTTATACTAGGGACACTCTGCTGGGCAGCCTTGCTTCTCCTGCAGTCCTCCTGCCTTAATAGAAGAGCGTTGCATAGGAATCCATATGGAGAAAAGCAAGGGGGGACAAGTTGGCTTCTTGGGAGCCAGAGAAGGTGGATCTAGCCTCAACTGTGATACATGTTCTTACATAGGTTCAAGGCCATGAACAATGGGTACTGGGAGTAGCAGTGGTCTCAACCCTTCCTTTTCCAGATCTCCATCAGCAGTGAGCTGCACACTGGCTCCATTCCCCCTGACGAGAGCAGCAGTGACATGCTGGTCATCGTGGATGACCCAGCCTCCTCAGCCCCTCAGTCTCGAGCCACCAACTCTCCTGCATCCATAACAGGCTCTGTCTCAGATACCGTAAACGGTAAGTGCTGCTGCTGTGTCTTCCAGGTTGGGCCTGGTCCACTACCCAGCACTGGAGTGGTGGTGGGGAAGGTCCTGATTGCTTCTACAATTATGGCATTTTCTTCTTTCTTCAGAGAAGAGTAGAATGGAGCAAAAATATTTTTGTAGGCTTATTCTTTCAATAGCTCTGTCAAGTGAAAGGAAGAAAGAGAAGGTGTGTAGGGGGCCAGTTCACTGTCCCTCAGACTGTTGGAGAGTATGCACTGTGGGCCTGGAACGAGTCGGCTGCTAAGCAGGACAGGCAGTGGCAGCAAAAACACCCGGAGGGCTGGATAAATGTGCTAGGTGGCCTGAGGGCTGTAGTTTGAGGACGCCTGGTTTAGAAGAAGCAAAGTAAGAACTTTGTAAAGATTTAAAACTTGTTTGTTTTCCAGTCGTCCCTATCAAGTTTTTAATTAAAGTTACCTTTTTTGGGCCTTTCCTCAGTTTGTTGTATGGGGAACGGTGTTGCTGCTCTTTCTTGGGGTGTTCTAAGTTTAAAACTGGGGAGTGACAGTTGACTCTTCAAGACAGGAGCACATTAGAGTGTGCAGGTAAATCCCAGGTAGTAAATCCCTGAGGTTCAATTAATAACAGATTAGTCTAAAGAAGAAGTTCCGGGAGTTAATAAGACCACTCTTTACAATGAAAAGTGGTGTGAGGAGTAAGGATGCTTTAGGTATTTAGAATTCTTAGCAGCTTTGTGTGACTCAGTGGCCTAGCCATTGAATGGAGACATAGACCTCCTCAGGGGTCCTTAAACAAACACCCTGAGAGCCAGCTTTCCCTGTCAGGGAAAGATTATGTTAACATTTTGAAGAGATTAATTTTTTTTCCTTTTGGCCTGTTTGTTCCCACAGGAATTTCCATTCAGGAAATGCCAGCTGCAGGACGTGGTCACTCAGCCCGAAGCCGGGGCCGCCCCAAAGGTTCAGGAAGCACAGCCAAAGGAGCAGGGAAGGGCCGAAGCCGGAAGTCCACGGCGGGCAGTGCCGCCGCAATGGCAGGAGCCAAAGCAGGGGCTGCAGCAGCCTCTGCAGCTGCCTATGCTGCGTACGGGTACAACGTGTCTAAAGGTGCGGAGGCCCCGGGTGGCTTTAGGCTTGTTCTGCCAGGTAGATCATGGAAACTCTTAGGCCAGGAAGCTTCTTCCCAGAGCCCAGATTGAGGTTCTGCTTCTTTGCATTGAGCAATCTTGATTCTCCCCTTGACCTCATGACTTGGTACAGTGCCACCTTTGAACTGGAAGTCGCTGTGAAAAAAGTGCTGAATTGTGGGCTATATTACTTTAGACATTCAGAGTTTTTCTTCCTTTTGAAAATTGATTTTGGGCCGGGCGCGGTGGCTCACGCTTGTAATCCTAGCTCTCTGGGAGGCCGAGACGGGCGGATTGCTTGAGGTCAGGAGTTCAAAACCAGCCTGAGCAAGAGCGAGACCTCGTCTCTACTATAAATAGAAAGAAATTAATTGGCCAACTAATATATATAGAAAAAATTAGCCGGGCATGGTGGCGCATGCCTGTAGTCCCAGCTTCTCCGGAGGCTGAGGCAGGAGGATCGCTTGAGCCCAGGAGTTTGAGGTTGCTGTGAGCTAGGCTGACGCCACGGCACTCACTCTAGCCTGGGAAACAAGTGAGACTCTGTCTCAAAAAAAAAAAAAAAAAGAAAATTGATTTTGGCCGGGCATAGTGGCTCACGCCTGTAATCCTAGCACTCTGGGAGGCCAAGGCGGGCAGATTGCTCGAGGTCAGGAGTTCGAAACCGGCCTGAGCAAGAGCAAGACCCCATCTCTACTATAAATAAAAAGAAATTAATTGGCCAAGTAATATATATATAGAAAAAATTAGCCGGGCATGGTGGCACATGCCTGTAGTCCCAGCTACTTGGGAGGCTGAGGCAGCAGGATTGCTTGAGCCCAGGAGTTTGAGGTTGCTGTGAGCTAGGATGACGCCACGGCACTCACTCTAGCCTGGGCAACAAAGTGAGACCCTGTCTCAAAAAAAAAAAAAATCGATTTTATTTTTCTTCCTAGTTTTTTTCTGAGGTACATTTCAGTAATCCACACTCATAGTTAACATTCATGTAGCTATGTGATGATCGATCACCTTAGGTATTAACACACCTGCTGTATGCATAGGAATATGGAATATAACACATGGACTCTGCTCCTGTGTGTATTATAGAAATGAGAAGGGGAAGCTGTGTGTGCAGTATGTTCAACAGCCATACACGGCAGCATACAGATGTGGGGAAAAAGAGGGGAGGTTTGGCTGCGGTTGTAGGTCAGGTTGTAGGTCAGGAGGCGGAGGAACCATGGATCTGCTGATAAGGTTGCCAAGCAACCTTTTTCAAAAAGGAAAAGGATAGCTGAGTGGGGTGGCTCACGCCTATTATCTTAGCACTCTAGGAGGCCGAGGTGGGAGGATCCCTCAAGGTCAGGAGTTCGAAACCAGCCTGAGCAAGAGTGAGACCTCGTCTCTACCAAAAATAGAAAGAAATTAATTGGCCAACTAAAATATATATTTAGAAAAAATTAGCTGGGCATGGTGCTACATGCCTGTAGTCCCAGCTACTTGGGAGGCTGAGGCAGAAGGATCGAGCCCAGAAGTTTGAGATTGCTGTGAGCCAGGCTGATGCCACGGCACTCTAGCTAGGGCAACAGAGTGAGACTCTTATCTCGAAAAAGCAAAAAGGAAAAGGATGAGGAAGGATTTCAACTGGTGACAGAGGCAATAGGGTCACCAAGCAGGTCAGCCAGGTTGCAATGAAGAGAAGGTGGATGTCAAGGCGAAAGACATGGCAAGACCTGATGGACAGGACCCTAGCAGGTATACAGCAAGGGCCTGCAGACAGTTTGAGAAGGGAAGTGGCTGTTGTGACCGTGACATATAAACAATGATGGTAGCCATGGATATGGGACATCTGAGCGTAGTGAGAAAGAGAGAGCCCATTTACAGACCTGTCTCCCCATTCAAAATGTGAGCTAGTATCAATTACTGTGGCAAGTAAAGGCATTCTCAAATAGAAAGTACTTGGCCTGTAGTATGTGCTCAGTAAATGTTACTTTACCTCCCCTTTCACCTACTACAGGAATCTCAGCTTACATTATTGGTTCATCCAGGAAATATGAATTATAATAGCCTAGCCCAGTGTTTCTTAACCCTTTGCCAACTCATCACATCCTTGGAGAGCAATAATCATGCCAGTAGTCAAGGTTGCTGTTGCAGGGTCTCACCCATAGATGGGGCCGAGCATGACACTCATCAGGGTTTCTCCTAGGAACCTGACTGCAAAGGGATCAGGAGGGGAAGGAGACAAAGAGGGTACAGCAGCACTGAGAAAAATCAGCCAGGCTTGGCAACTGGAGTGGGAAGCGAGGGAAGTGGGGAGGGGTTTAGAGGTTATCCGCAGTTCCACTGTGGATGAGGAGGAGAAAGGCATGTCCACCCACTAAGCATGTAGCATTCTTTTACACAAGAAAGAGTTGAGGAATTGTCTTAGGCAACATAAGTAGATTTGGCTGGCTCATACTAGAAAAAAGGAAAGTTCACTGTTGCCCAGGGAGTCATCACTAGATGAGGGATTTGAACTGCGTTCTTGCAGTGGTATAGCTCGGAGAGCGGGAGTGGCCACGGCCACTGTAGAACTGCATGAGTGTAGACACAGGGTAGAGAGTGGCCAGGCTTACTCGGGAGTAGGAAACATCTTCTATGAAATTAAGAAGAAAACCGCTAATCACCAGGGATGTCCTAAGAAAAAGAAAAGAAAAACACATTGGTGCCTGTTAAGTTACAGCTCTCACACACAAGCCTTGGTGTCCCAAATTGTGTGTGCACTATCCAGAATGCCAAGATGAACATTTGACTCTCTGTGGATGAAGTAATATGGAGAGGGCCAGGCAGATGTCATTTTCTCTTAAAAACCCCATACCCCTTTCTGAAAAGACAGTTGATAGGAAGAGCAAGTACACATGCCAGGAAGAGGTTGGCAAGGAGTAGCAGGGAGGGATTCTCCACCACCTGTCCTCCAGCCTAGGCGCTGCTTACCAAGACCACAGGCTCCAAGGAAGCTCACGCACCACTGGCGCTTACACTCCTGTCTCTTTCTCCATCCCCACAGGAATCTCCGCCAGCAGCCCTCTGCAGACATCCCTTGTTCGGCCTGCTGGCCTTGCTGACTTTGGACCTTCAAGCGCCTCTTCTCCTTTGAGTTCCCCTTTGAGCAAAGGAAATAATGTTCCTGGGACCCCCAAGAACCTCCACATGACCAGCAGCCTAGCCTCAGACTCCGTGGTCCGGAAGCAGGGCAAAGGCACCAATCCGTCTGGAGGACGGTAACCATCTGGACCCTCCGACTTCCTTCAACCAAACCAAGGTCTAGAGTCCCGGCCTGCAAATCGTCTTTGGATGGCTTGCCTAGCGCAGCATCTTAACATCCTGAGTCAGAGGGCAGAGATGTCCAGTGTGGCAAGGGAAAATGGGCGGGTGGTTGGTGTGAGCACTTTCATCACATGTGTCTCAAAAGGAGTGTATGAGATACCTACCTATAGGAGGAAGGCCCAGGACAGGGATCAGCCCCGCAGCATCTCAGACGAACTGTATAGCCAAGTCTTAAACCTCTTACCAGGGAAGGGCCTGACGTGATAGCCCCCTTTAGATGCTCAGGCACACTGTCTCCATCCTCATTCCACTCTTTGGCTCTGACCACGTCCCTTGCAAAGGCTCCACAGGTACTGTGAAGAGCCTTCCATGGTGGAGACTTCTCCTGAGGTTGTGATGATTTCCTGTAAGGTTAGGAAGGGAGGAGATCGTGTACCTGGCATCCACAGCCTTTGGGCAGCTCCCCAGTCTCCAAACACTATTTGCCAGAGTGTCATCATTAAAGAGAATAGTGAATGCGAGAGAAGGTAGTGGCTAATAAGGATGGCAGAGGCTAGAGGAAGCGTACCCACAGGCGGTCATGTTCCCAGTATTGCCTCCCCTGCCCTGCATGGTTCACACCAGAGAACCTTCAGGTCCTACCAGCAACAGTAGCAGCAGCTCCCACCCAAGGGACTCCTAGAAGCCAGTAAAGAGACCAGGAGCCACCTCAATCAGCAGGACATCCTCACTGCCCCTCTTGTAGACTCCCCTTTGTCCATCCTGAATGCACAGTTTCCCTGCCCCTGCCCTTCAGCCCCCTGCTTGGCTGTATGCACTGTCTGTATTGCACTGAGAAAGGAAGGGACAGCAGAAGTGAGGGAGAGAGGGTGGAGAGAGAGGGCAAGCTGGGCACAGGCCCTCCCAGCCCCAGCCCCAGGGGCCTGAGCTTGCGCCCTCCAGCACAGGCAGAGGGACAGCGTTTGCATGGGAGGTGTTTCTGCCGGCCTGCCTCATGTCCCTGGTGGAGCAGGTGCTTCCGGGCGGGCCAGCCTCTAATTTGCACACCTGAAAATCGCGGAATTGAGTTTAGACAGATTGATTTTTAAAACTTTTTTTTGGGAGGAGGGGTTGTAGGGGAATCATTTAATTTAAATCATTAAGATTCCCCTGCCCAAACCCAGACTCCTGTGTACAGATGCTATTTAGAGGGAATCAGAAAAATGCCAAGCCTTTTTTCTCTTTGAATGTGCTGTCTATTTTTATAACTGAACTTGTACATATGTATAAAGAGAGACACATCTTTCTTTTACTAACTGGATAAAAAAAAATCTTAAATAAAATGGAGTGAGATAATTTTATGTAAATTGGGGTGTCTGTGGTCTTTGCAGCTGCTTCTCCTTGGAGGCAAAGTAGGGCCCTTGGTGGACGTGGCGGGACAAAGGGAAAGCAGAGCCCTAGCCTTGTTCCTGTGACCAGAGAGAGAATGGGTGGGACAAGGGGGTGGCTGTGGGTGTTTCCTCAATGGCAGAATGAATTAGGCTTAGGAATTTGCCTCCAGCCATCAGAGAGAAGGCTTGACCAAGTGCCTGGCATGTGGCAGCCTAGGCCTTTGGGTGTGGGCTCTTTATGACTCAGGACCTAGGCGTGGGCAGCCTGGCCTGGCCCGGCCCACCATTAAGTAAAGTTACATAGTGGTAATCGTAACACTGACTGTTCTGCAAGTTAGTGTACTCGTAAGAATCATGAAAGAAAACAGTGAAATATGTTCCTAGGGATTCGAAAGACATCCTCGCTTGGAAAACAGGACTGGCAGCCTGAACTGGCACCCAGTGTTTCTCTGAGCCAAACACGATAGGCTCTTGCGTCATCTGTGAGCAGGGCTCGTGCTGTTCCCAAGTGTGCTGGCTGTGGCCTCCCTAGCCGTGCTCACCCTGCACACTGTTGATCAGGGTGGGCCAGCTCCTGGGCAGCTATTGCTTGTGACCTGCAGTCACAAGGGTCAGCCTTTCTTCATTTCATTGATCTCCAGAAGCATTTATCAGATACTCTGCAGCTAAACTTGACCAAGGCTTCACACCAAACTAACCAACATCAGAACTTAGCTCTGTCTTTACTTGCTATGTAAAGATTTTTGCATTTAAAAATAAATAGTTTGAAACCTTCTGAATCATCCCTTAAGGCAATGCTTCTCAAACTTTAATATGTATATGAATCACCTTAGGATCTGAAAATGCAGGTTTGTTTCCTAAAGTCTAGGGTGTGACTTGAAACTAAACTTCTTTTATTTCTTCTTTTTTTTGAGACAGCCCCACTCTGTTGCCCTGGGTGGAGTGCTGTGGCATCAGCCTAGCTCACAGCAACCTCAAACTCCTGGGCTCAGGAGATCCTCCTGTCTCAGCCTCGTGAGTTGCTGGGACTACAAGTGTACGCTACCATGCCTGGCTAGTTTTTTCTATTTTTAGTTGTCCAGCAGATTTCTTTCTATTTTTAGTAGGAACGGGGTCTTGCTCTTGCTGAGGCTGGTCTCGAACTCCTGACATAAAGCAATCCTACTACTGCCTCAGCCTCCCAGAGTGCTAGGATTAAAGGCGTGAGCCGTGCCTGGCCAAGACTAAATTTCTGACCAGATCCCAGGTGAAGGCTGAGCTGCTAGTCCTCAGACACACCTGGACTCACAAGGCCCTATAGTACATTCCAGCCTTGCCAGTCACAAGAAACTCTAATCTTCGCCTGTATGTCCCCACCACAGCCAGGAAGCCCTTTGCAGGAAATACTACTTTATTTTTTCTATTGCTCACCTTAATTCACCTGATGACAGAAAATGAAATCCTAGCATTCTAGGAAAATTCAGCCCCATATACATGTTTTCTTAGGTTTTGGTTTTTTTGTTTTGTTTTTTTCCTCATTTTAAAACTGTCAGTTCATACATTTTCTCCATCCTTCTCTCCTGGCTAGTGCCTCTGTTGAGCATGTTAAGTTTGACAGTTCTCTGATTTGCTACTGTCCCCCTCCTTTGTGGCCTCTACCAAAAACGCAACCTGTCTTTGATTGCTGTCATTCACTATAGAGCATCTATGACCCATGGACTCACTGTTTCCTGTGCAGGGTGTCCTCTTAGCATGACCAGCACACTCCTTCCAGGTTAGTCAGCTTCCTTAACTAGTTCCTGAACTCTTCTCAGGGGCATGGAGACATTTGGCTGCTCTCCCATGCTTCTCTGAGACTGCTAGGGTGTGGGGAATCCCTGCGATTTGGGAGCAGCTATGGTTACTGCTGGCTGCCCAATTCAGCCATCTTCATGATGACATTCAAACCATGAGATGTGGAAGGGGTGGACGTGCATGTCTTGTTCTAGAGAACACAGCATCTAGCTTGAAAATGTGTGCCCAGTTCCCCACGTACTTGCTATATGGTAGTAAATGATGCTAAGAAAAGTATCTGCCTGGGGCGGCAGAGACACCTGAGGACTGTTGCAAGAGTTTGGGCTATTTCAGCCCTCTGGGGATGACCCACCCATTTGCCACCCAGGAAGTATCTGGGGCAAATAGCCCCGGGACCAGGCTATGGAGATGCTGATTGCCAGTGACAGTACCCAGGACTGGGTGTAAGAGGAGGTGGGAGGAAGGGGAGGAAGAGGGAAGACATGCTTGAGGCCCACTTCCTGGTTGTTAGGAACTCTGAGGAAGCAGAGTGCCTCCCTTATCACCAGGCCCCTGGTCTGTTCCTGTGCTCCCACTTCTTTCTTGCTTCAGGTCCTGGAACTTAGCTGGCTTCCCTTTCCTCTTCAAAATTGCTACCACCACATTCTCGCTCCATTTTCCCCTCCCCATAGCAAGCTGCTGGGGGGAATACTCCTTGTTTTCACCAAACTGCTGCCAAAAATGAGCATCTTACTTTTTTTTTTTAATTAAGGGTTTTCTTGCTCTTCCAAACAAGGACACCAGGTAAAAATAGTACTGTACATGGGGAGTTACAAAGCTTAAGAAATATTTCACAGGTCTCAGAGTCCCAAGTCTGCAGTTCCTGGCACCTCAAGTGAGTCCTGAGTGAGAGACTCCCTGACTCGTATCCTCTTCCTTCCAGGGAGCTAAGAGTTTCTTGCAAAAAGACTGGCAGAGGTGTATCTGTGAGCGCCTGCAGGGCCTGGGCCTGTGCTCTGTGCCGCTTGAGATGTCTTTGTCCTGGGATCCAAAGCTGAGAATGAATGCTTGCACAAGGACCAGGTGGCCTCTCTTGTGTCTGACCAGTACTGGGGATTAGGCTGCAGCAGCCTCAGGGAAGAGGAAAGCAGGAGCACAGGTTCAAGTTGTAGGAGAAGGGAATTTTCTAAGCTTGCCTAGCCGAAGGCCCACAAAAGCAGCTCTCTGGGAAAGAATGCCCAGCTGCAGCCCAGAATGTCTTACCCCCCACCACGGGCAGCACACAGCCCAGAGCAGCCCAAATCCCCACTCTGCGTCAGAGGCCCGCCCCACAGCTATTCCTGGCTGCCAGAGAAGAGGAAAGGGGCTCCCCTCCCATTTCCCAGGTGAGGGCTCCCAGAAAACCTCAGGCAGCTCCATGCCTTGCACCCCTGAAGAGATGGTGCCTCTTGCCTGAGACTTTCTGAGGAGGGCGGTAGGAGGGAGGAATGGGAGAGAGTTGGAATCCAGTGGATTGTCAGTGCAGTTCGCTTTCAGCAGTCTTGGTTTGTCCTCAGCCCAGATCCTGGGGGTTCGGAAACCATTTTACCTAACTCAGACTTTCTCAACCAAAGAACTACAAAAGGGAAACTGGTGC